TGCTCCCGCTCGCTCTGTCCTGGGCACGGTTTCGGGTCTCGCCGCGTTCTCGCCGCGACTGCGCTTCGGGAGCCGGCTGGGCGGCAGCCAACTAACTTAGCGAAGTTGGAGACGGGCTGTCGGCTTCGTGCGTGGAGGACAGCCACGCGGGACTGTCCCGGACGCCCGTGGCCCCGGCCCGGAGGGCGCTGCAGTGGGCAGGAGCGATTTGGTACAAGTGCTACATTATCTCTTAGATCCTAGAACTGGCTGCTTGTAGGCAAATCCGTGATTGTGTGTGCGTGCGTGTGCTCGCGCGCGTGTGCGTGTGTGTGTGTGTGTGTGTGTAACTGGGAGAGACACAGCAGTGGAACATACTCATTCTTTAAGGAACGTTTGCCTTCTGTTTTCAATCAGCTAAGCTGGCAGCTAGAGATACAAGTTTATTTGCGAATCCCCTCCGGGCACCGAGCATGCTTGGGTTGTTTCGGCAAATTAAAAATGAGCAACATGCTTTTACCTTCTCAGCGGTAGACTCCTTAAGAGACCTCCTGTTTGGTGGGGATGCGTGTGTGTTTCAGAGGAACGTTTTCTGTGTGTATCTCAACTCTGGTTTTAATGTGGAAAAGGAGAAAATAAAGGATTTTTCAGCCACGGAATGACTCATTCAGTCTGAATTCCCATCAAGGACTTGAGCAGCACAGAAGGGGATCTGTGGGAAGAGTGGCTGACCTCGTTGGTGCATTTGAAATGGTAGCGGATTCTTGTGTCTCCTGGGCCGTGGGCAGTGTGCCGCTCTGTGCCTGGGGTGTGTGTGTGTGTGTGTGGCATTGGCTGACAGGAGGCCTGGTGCTGGGGAGACTGCCCGCCCACTGCCGGGTCTCCCCTGGGGGTCTTGCTGTGGGGCATGGAAGGCGAGGTTAGCAGCTGCGAGGGTGACAGTGGGCTTAAGGTCCACCAGTGAGGCTGCAGGAGTGACCGCTGGATTGCAAAACTTTGCATCATGGAGAAAACTTCACTGGTTTAGGCCTCACCTTTATAAAAAGAGCAACTAATGCCGCTCAAACACCCGACATTTGCTGGGAAGAAATTTGCAGTGAATTGAGCGTGCATAGCGAAAGCGGCGTCTCCCAGCACGGGAGTCAGAATGACTGCAGTGGCTGCGCTGTGTCAATTATGCCCGAAGCGCAGTACAGAGCTCTCCACCACACGCTAGAGGTCTCTCTTCCAGCTGTAAGATTTTCCTGTCGTGCTTGGCCAGGGCTTCTGTGTGTGTGTTGGGGGGGGGGGGGGGGGGGGGCAGAGGTGAATGGGCAAGCTATCCTGGGGCAGAGGGGGTGCACAGTGATAACTTGGTTCACACTTATTGAAATAATACAGATTTACTGGCCGTTCCGGTTACTCTGGTGTGAGAAACTTGTTTTAGAGACCAGGCAGTAATTACAGCACAGATTATACCAAGTACAGTACTGGTATATGATGATGAAAATATATTGTTCCATTTGTTAAGTAGCATTAGGGCCCTGTTGGCGTACAGTCATTTATCCAAAGCAATCTGTTTGAAATGTAGAAGTAATCTGTATGTCAGAGAACTTTCTGAATGTTAAACTTGGAGTTGGCGCCAGGTTTTGCAAGAAGCTGCTCGCAGAAATACTTTCTTGCCTTGGCGTTTCTGACCTCAGAGCGACTGCTTTCTGGGTCTGAGATGCGGCGCTTCCTGCCGAGACCTCTGTGGAACGCTCGTGGCTTTCGAGTCATCGAAGGATGTTTGTTGGTGAAGCATCGGTTCACCAGGCTTTTCCTCAGTTGGATCTGAAGCTGTGTTTTGGAACCTCCTGGGGGACTGACACTTGATTTCCCGAGCAAATGGAGCTTTTATTTTCTCTGTCTTTTGAATGAACCATCTTGGGAAGAAAAATGAAATTTTCAGATGCAAGCCTGCGTGCTGATTTCTAGCAGCTCACTCACGCAGAGGCGAGACACCAGGCAGTTTTCCTAGGCCCTGTAATAGTGCTCCGGCTTTTCATTCACAAAAAACGGCCTTTTGGTGAACTAGGCAACGCTCCAACCACCTGGGCCCCCTGGCCAGGACTCCCCAGTCGTGGGAGGTGCACCCACAGGGTCAGACACGCTCCCTGCTCCTCTGTGAGCTGCCCGGTGAGGTCTCCCTTCCCCGGCGCCGCTCCGTTTAGCTCACCTTTGGACAGGCCTGCGTTTAACCTTCTGAGACAGCCAAGTCTGTGCCGTAGCGTGCACGTTCGTTGTGCTTAGCAGTATGGTAGGCATGTGCTCAGTAACTATGAGGAGGACAGTTCACCATGCTCTGCAAAAGGCCCCGGACGTACAAACAACTGGTGCAATTACTGCAAGTCACTCACGGAAAGCCTTTAAGGACCCGAACACGGACAAGTTTGCTTGGTCCGATCTGAGTGGCCTGAGCTCCGCATCCTCGCCGTCGACTCCAGGGCGTCTCCCCCGTGTGTCTCTCACCTTCCGGACTGTCCTTGGCGAGTGTGGTCTCGGTGCAGCAGCCGCCTGCTTTCCTTCCGTGGACATGGCTTTTGGTGTTTTTAATGTCTCGTCTCTTCTTTCCATCGCTGTTATGTCTCTAAAACCCGTCCCCTCACGTCTGGGGCCACAGACACACACAACTCCCAGGAAAGAGGGTTTTGCCCAATAAATGTGCTATTCGTCACCTGGATTCCATTGGCTGGCAAACCGTGGGTGAGCTTTAAAATAACCTGAGTCAGGCAGGCCATGTCTCTCAGCACCAGGTCCCGCCGGGGGGATGTCCGCGCGGGGGGGTGCCCCCCTTCCAGCAGAGTCGGGGCTGGACAGCTTTCCGTTATTCCCAGGAGCCGGTGTCAGCGTCACTGCGGAGGCGGCTGGGCCACAGCTCAGCTCCACGGGGTGGCTCCTCGGTGGCTCCTCGGTGGCGGCCCTGAGCGCAGGCTCTGGGTGGAAAAGCCGAGTCACTGGCCATGTCCCCTGGGGACCCGCTTCTGCTGTAAACACGGGGACAACATCTCTGCCGCCTGCCCCGGGGGCTGTGGAGGGAACCCCAGGCGCGTGTGCGGAAACCCGGTGCCAGCAGGAGCCCAGGCAGGACTCGGTGAGGGCCTCGCTCCCGCTGCCAGCAGCGTGGGCCCGTCTGCAGGACCTCACCGAGCCCCAAACAGCAGAGGCACCCCGTCTGCCAGGGGAAAGCGCGGGTCGGAAAGGTGTGTGAGGTGCCGGGAAGCCGAGGCCAGGCTGGTGCAGAGCAGAGGTGCGGCCAGAGGCCCTGCCAGCCCCGGACTCACTGCCCGCACGCCCGGTCCCGGGGGCAGTGGTGCTGTGTGAGCACCTGCCACAGGCACCTGGACCGCGCTTTTCTCCTCCGCCACCAGCTTCCCGTCACCCCCCTCCCTCCTACCCCTCCTTCCCCTCTATCCACCCGGGGTCTCCCGTCAGCACCAGCACCCCACTCCCATCCCGGAGAGAAAGAAAGAAAAAGCCGGTTGAGCCCGGCCGGTGTGCCTCAGTGGTTGAGCATCGACCTGTGAACCAGGAGGTCTCCGTTCGATTCCCGGTCAGGACACAGGCCCGGGCTGCGGGCTCCATCCTCAGTGTGGGGCGAGCAGGAGGCAGCCAATCGATGATTCTCATTGATGTCTCTAGTCCTCTCCCTCACTTCCTCTCTGAGGTCAGTTTAAAAGTCTGTTTTTTAAAAAGCAGGTTGGGGTTGTTGCAATCCGACCTCTGATTGTTCTCAAGCCCTTGCCGGCACGTGGCTCACTCACAGGGACGCGTCGCTCACGGAAACTCGGATTTGTTTCCCGTCC